TTGCCGGTGGATCGTCCTAGCTGTTCCGAATAAGGCCTCAGAGACGCAGCCAGCTGCCTTCGTTGCTGTCCTCTATCGTGACTGAGTGTAGCTGCCAAGGCACAAACACCCTCTACAGTCTGGTGTGGATACTAAACATGTTTGTCAGACAGGTACTAAACATGTTCGTCTGACATGTTGCTGAGTTGCATGAAGAAATTCCACCTGCTGGAGAACGATCACCTCCGAAGCAAGCACGAGCACCCCAAACTAAACCCCAAAGGAAATTTGCAACTCCATGTCAAGAAAAAGAGCCGTTCGCTGTTTAACGACTTAGGCTGCTCATGAAAACACTTGAGAGTCTCGTGCCCGTGCCGCAACTGGGACCTTTTCTGGCGACGTTCGCGGCATGCAATCGGCAGTTGGTCTGAGTAGCTCCAGGAACACAAACATACGATGATTCCCAACACATTTTCAAGGTGCTCGACTCTAAAACCCTCCAACGGAGGCGCTTAAGCACTTTTGTTGGCTGCCCGTGTACTGCAAAGCTGTTCTTCAGATGACTCGAGAAGCATCATTACCGTGCACCAGCCGCCCCTATCAACTGCCAGCTTTGAGAAAGACGTTATCTGCCTTAACGGCCGATGCAGTCCTCCATGCAGAAGTGCAAAAGAAACAGGCATGCAGCTGCTTACTGTAGTCCCTCTCTACATATCACAGCTAAATAAACGGTGAAACGGTCAGAGAGATCTCTAGGGGCAAGGTATCTTCATTTAGCTGGCTTACTGTAGTGCTAAATCACTGTAGTGGTAAATCACTACAGTAACCCAGCTAAATAAACGGCGAAACGCTGGGAGAGAGCTCTAGGGGCAAGGTTGCTTCGTGATAGATGAGTGCAATAAACTACACACCTCTCTCCGTTACCAGACGCCTGTGGTGGCATAGCGTGCATAAAAAGCACATTTGAAATTGTACGTTGTGTCGGGTTCCATACATGCGATAGCGTTTAAAAACCCTTCTAGTTAATTCCGGTTGCTAGCATATTTTGGAGTTTTCTGCCTCCGAGCTGAGCTCCACCTGAGTAAATTACCTTGCAGGGTGGACAAAACCAATAGTTTGGAGGGAGACGAGGCTGAAATGACTTGCTGACCTGCATTTATGTTCCGCGTCTTCTATTAGGCTCATCCAAATGCGTCTGCTACCGGCCGTAACAATGCAGAGATCAAAGCGAAGGCCATTACAAACACGGAATAACTACTAGCCGTGAAAATTCAACATTTGTCAAGCTGTGGAATGGGGCTACCATATTGCCGGTTCTACAACATGGCAGACTCGCTTGTTTTAAAAGGTTCCGTTGAAATTGGCTTATACTGACATGTATTCAAGTGACAACTTCAGGCGTGCAAGTCTGGGGCTCAGACGTACGGCAGTGCCTCACGAATGGGGCTTAAGGCGTCATGCGTATATCCTTGAATGTCGTTTCCTGCTCTGTAAATTTGCTGCAAGGCATTGGGAGTTCGCATACGTCGGCGTATTCGGAGTTGCTAGAGATACGCCTCGAAGTCTGCAACTGAGGCTTCGTCGAACTGATCTATATATCCTGCCACACGCGCAGAATCCAGTATGGGGACCTGTGCGCGATCCTGCGCCGCCACTCACCAGCTCCTTTGTCACAACCAGCCGGGGGTCTCTCGGTCTCGCATGTTCGGTCTCTGTTTCAAGTGGGACATCTTTAAATATGATATAAATAAACAGTTTTTCACGCTAAGCATAGCATGCTCAAATATGAAGTAAGCGAAATAAACGGATTGGTATATGCATTACATGAAATGAATGATTTAAATACAACGTGCATGCAGTGTATGAAATTGACAGATCTGAATAAAACAGAAGGAAACTGCAGATGTGAGAAGCGGATTAAACACATTTCGATGTGATATGGGTGCAATATGCATATCTGAACATGGAATACTTGATTTTCAGTGTTAACTAAAACAAAAAAAACAAATTTGCATGTGGAATGTATAGGATAGATACACTAAAATACGCAGCACATCAAATGGCCAGTTTTAAATGAATAAAATGACGAAAGATGACATTAAATTTGGATGAAATAAAGGGATATAAATGTGGAGTAGATGAAATTGATGTAGTAAAATACGAAGTCGACGAAATAAACAGATGTGAAATGGAATAAAAGTGAAAACAGAAATGGCTATGTTGTCTCTAAATTTCCTTATCGCATACCATGCATATTCATACCTGTTTTTCGAGACGACATAACCATTTCTGTGCTCACTTAAAAGGAGCTTCTGTGCAGCAAGAGGCGTAGTACAAGCAACCCTGCCATTGTTCATCACTGTAATATTATTGGTATTCTCATTACTAGTAATATTCAGTTATAATGCTGATCCTAGTACAAGACTTTGAACACAGATTTTGTCATTGTCAGTGCGCGCAATATCAGTATCATTTATTATAATTATATGATGTATATTATAGTATTATGCCGCAAATACTGTCACTCTCCACTATCGTAACGCTGGCCCTTGATATATTAAAGTTCTTTTTCATTCACCAAACTTCAACTAAAGCAATATGCACTCATTCACCAATTCCCAAACTTCAACTAAAGGAATATGCAATCAACTGAGAGAATAAATCATCTACACAGTGCACTTTGTCTTGCCGTATAGAACAGACTGAGGAAGTCTTATTTAAACGCCGGAAATAACAGCGGTGATCGTGTTGCTATTCTTCTTTTCCATCTAAGATTTTATTTTAGACACATTATTAGATACTAAATATAATAAACAAAATTTAACTGAATTAGATCAATAAGGGTAACGTTCTATACCAACGTTGTTTAAATTAGCTATTTTTGAATTGTATAACTATTATGTCCCAGTAATTTCAACATTATCACTTATAAATTAAGTGGTTTTACCCTCTGAGCTAATGTCCTAAATATGATTTACGGTTAAATGGAAATGAACATGTTTCAGTTTTAACTACTCTACCTGAACTTCCAAATGAAGCTAATGCTGATTTATCTTTTATATTTCCTATTTCTTAACGAATAAAATATTTATTTACTATTCCTTAGCTAACGCGTTAAGTATTCCGCCTCTGGTTGCTATAATACTGAAATATAAGTTTGAAGTGTGTAGCTCTATGCCTGAAAGAATGGACATGACTGGTTTCATGCGTACCTCTGTAAAAACAACAAAATATGTGCAGTTTGATTATTAATAAAACGAGGTCTCCAGGAGTCTGTTTCGCTGCAAGCAGATTTCCTCCGTGGGGTTAAATTAAAATAACGGGTTTAAAAATGTAAAATCGATACTTGGTTCAAAAACCAACATTTTTATTTGCATTTGCACTTGGTTTAATTTCTAATTGCATTGCTTGTTGGTGTGTTACTCACGTTGAATGGAGACAAGAACGTGCCTATGGGGCGGTTTGGAGAGCGTGCGTCAGGGTTTGATACTTGAGTAAAAAGAACTGCTCTTTACTATGCGTGAGCATATAGCTTCTTTTTGCCTCTTTGTATTGTTGCTGTAGTTGTTCAAGCGGTACTGTTGGCTGTGGTGATGGCTGCAACTCTTGCTCTCGTGTCCGCTTTTTCTCCCTCCTCTTCCTTTCTCTCCTCTTCTTTTCTTTCCTCTTCCTTTCTCTCCTCTTCTTTTCTTTCTTACTTTTCCCCTTTTTCCTCTTCTTCCCTTCCAAGAAACTGCCGACAGCCACGGTGACCGCAGGTGCCCTCACGGTGTCGAGGCTGCCTCTTTCTTCTGCTGGGCCGCCGCTAATATCTCCACGTAGTTCGTCAGTTTGGAGGCTTACATGCGCAAATAGATCAGCAAAATGATCTTCTGAAGACTGAGAAGCAAATGCAGCTTCAGTTCCTGCGTCCATGACCAACACGGCGACCACCGGCGCAGCCATGGCGTCCAGCAGCCTCATGGTGAGATATGACTAAGGGATCTATGCATTGAATGCTGCCCTACCTCAAGTAAACAGTTGTATGGTTCATACAGTTAAGTAAAAAACCAAGAAGAGCCAAAAATAACACAAAACTCCAGGGAATGACCAGCCTCTCACCACACCCCGTCGGCGGTGGCGCTGTGCAAGCGGCGCCCGAGCATCGAGGCAGGTCACCATACGGCAGCAGAAGCGACAGCAGCACCAAAAGGATGCAAATGATTTTTCCGCATTAGATTCGGTGAATGAAAACAACAAAATAAAGTAGTTAAAACGGTTTGAGTCGTTTTCCGTTTTATTTTCCGCAAGTTTCGTGCTGCTGGGAGGAACCCGTGCTTGTACATATGTTGCATGGCTAGCCGACGGAGACAGCCAATTCACGAATACGTGCTGCGGCGCTAGACACTTCATTGTTGTAGATGTTATCACAAGAAATAATCAAAAAAGCATACTAGGTCGTTTATTATTCGCTGTTGCCGCCTACTCCCGCATGCTGGTGCAGCAAAGGAGAGGAGACTCTAACGACAGTTGTGTGGGCAACCAAACCAACCACGCCCGAGGAAGCAAACGGATTATTAGAAGAATCCAGAGAAAAAACAAACGGAAAAGTGATTTTGAATCACTCAGATGTATCAGCATGGGCTCTAGGTAGCTTCTGTTTTGCCGCGATACCTGATAGTATACGCGTTGCTGTAGCAGCAAAAGCAGCTGCAGCAGTACCACTACCACAAGAATAACAGAAACACCATCATCATATGCGAAGTTAATGTTTGGTTTTTGTTCGCACCCGTTGATTCTCTCTGCGGCTAACGCCTCTGCAGCCGTCACTGGGTATTGATGGTATGACACGAGACACGAAAGAGAACAGAAGATAGGAAAAAAATGCGAATGGTCTGCCAGGAACAAAACACAAATCTTGTAGAGACAAAACGGGGGCAGGCAATCAACAGGTCGCCAACTGACACCGAAACGTTCAGGTTGTTGGTGTATATTATTTCTCCATTTGCCTCCTTAAGTTCCAAATGTAGCAGCTGGAGGGCTTAGCCCTGCTGTGGTTCCTCACTTCCTTCTCCTTCTGCTGCAGCGGCGGTTTCCCTCTCTAAGGCGTCTACGAGGCTTCCGTACTTGAGTACTTGGTATTCTTCTTCAGTGTGGTTTTGAAGATATAGTTTCTTCAGTTCTTTTGCCTTGTTTTCCAGTTTCTTTGCTTTCTTTTTGAGCTTTTGCGCTTTGGTTTTCCTTGCGTGAGCGCTGTGAACGGCAAATGCGCAGTCGTCCTCGAGGCAGTAAGGAGAACGGTTTCTGCCTCTTGCATTGTGAGAAAGATTGATAAAGCGAGAGGCGGAGACCGCAGGGGGGGACGTCACTTCAACTCCCTCCTCTGCTAAATCCACAGACACCGGTTCTGTACCTCCGGGCCTCTTCATCAGCAGAGATAGGGAGACATCAGCGGAGAGGAACGCCACTAGAACTAGGAGGGTTATTCTGCCCCTCATCTCCGCAGAACAAAATCTCAGGACAGGCGCAACGCACACGGTCGCCTGGGGGCACGATGAGGCCCAGCACGTAATGACAAGGGGTACACCAGTTCAGAGGAAGCAAAAGGAAGGAAAAATGAAGAGTATTCACGTTGAATCCCGGTTTAGGCGCTGAAGGGAAGCTTCAGACTGCGGTGCCGGCGGGTGATCAACGAAGTGCGGCGGCGCTGAAACCCCACGGGCGGGCCGCAAAAACGAAGCAGCAAAATATGACAAATACTAGAAAAAGTCAAAGGTAAAAGGGAGCTAAATTGTTTTATAGTCGTGGGGAATTCAAGCAAAACTCTTGGAAACCGGACGATGCTCTCGTTGTTGAGGTTGGTGGTCCTCACCACCTGTACAGACACTCCGTGCCCGGACCACTCCGCAACGCAGCGACTCTCAGAAAGATGCCTTGAAACATCACTAGAACAATTCTGTTCAGAACTTAACACAATCAAATCGGGATTTTGCACTTAATTTGGATGTGATCTCCTGCTTTCTCGATGCAGCGTCGTATGCCGTCGGCTGCGTGGAGCGGAGTGAGGAAGCAACAACTGTAGCTCGCCTGCTTATTACATGTGCGGAGGGTCACTATTTAACAATCCTAAATTGATATTTTGGGTTTTTCATTTGCCATTTCAGTATTAAAAGCATGAAAAATCATTAGCTTGCAGCTGCTAGTTGGACAATCGTAGCAGCGGCGCGCAGCACAGAACCCAGGCGGCGCCTCCTCTCTTGCCTGCCCCTCAAAAACGAAATGCAGTGGCACTCTGAATCCTCCAAAAGGAGTCTTGGCAATAGTTCAAATGCTCGTAAGGCAGTCCCCGCCTATACTGCAGCAGCTTTGCATGCACGGGGTGCTCCTAGAGTGGCATATGTGCTGTGGGTTGGCATACACACAGACCCAGGGTGTAATGTAGATAGTTCTGGGGTTTACACAGACTGCAGCTGTGCAGCAATCTGGGGCACCCAAACATTCTCCGCTGTCAGGCAGCGTTATGTACCCAAATGGCTCTGAGGTGACGACAGTACTAAGACCCAAAGCGCGCGGACGGGAGGGGGTGTTTTTTTCTTTATAGCGCTTTGATTCTTTTGTGTCTGTCTTAATTCCTTGGGTTTTCCTTGGTAGTGCACATTTAATAAATTTGCATCGCCTACTTGGTGATGTTCACTAAATAAATGTGCACAACGTACATGCTGGTGCATATTAAACGAAATGACAAAAACGTCTCGTTAGTATGCACCACGGAGACAAACGAAAATATTTAGTGGTTTATAAGAAATAAGGAAACTAAAAAGCTACAACTTCGAGCCTAACAACAAAGTCTGAGCCGACGAATTCGCCGTTTCCGCCAAGAGAACAAATACATATAAAGATTCAAAATTGAGTTTGACAAGAAACAACAAAAAATTGCATCATAAGTGTCAAAACCATGTCTTATAGCTCTTTGCTTTGAAGGGTCAGTTTGCTCATGCATTTATTTGGTTTTCTCTGCACTTGTCCAAAGAGGCCTCCAGCAGCAATCACATACAGCAGAAAGTTCATCCTGATGATATATTTTCTTGCATGGACGTGTTGCATTTTGATGTTTAAGTGCTTCGCCTAAAAAATAAAATGAGTTTGTCTGTCTGTCTGAATATGTAGCTCGCTCTCGTTGTTCTTCTTGTTTCTCTTGTTCCCCTTGTTTTTCATCTTCTCGCTTTTTTCCTACCTTTGCTCTTTCATCTTCTCCGTCTTCTTCGCCTCGTTGTCCCCCATCTTCCTTTTTTTCTCCTTTACCAGAAGATATTGGAGGATGAAACTAAAACATTCAAGAGAAGAAACGCGCAAAGATGCGCTGAAAAGCAGAATTACATTCTGTTCAACTTTTGTCCTTGCTTTTTTCGGCTTTCTGTTGTTTGGTGTAGGCAGCTAATAGGCAATATTATTTCCTTCTACCTTCGCACAGTCTTGCACCAAATACAATAAACAAATGCATCTTTTACTGAATTCATGCTGGGTCTGCACCGGTTGTCGAGCACTGCGTGCTGTGCCTATTCAATTGCCCTTCCTAATAGGGGCTATAAAAACAACACCAATAATAATTATAATATCAATAACAATAATGAAAATAATATTTGCTCGAATAATCATCAATATAATACTATTATATGTTTCAAACTCGCACCCTTGCAGCACCACAACTGTGGCTCGCTGATAGCTTTTTCTTCTGTTTTTTACGGGGTGCTTTCCAAGCAATCATTGGTTACAGAGAGAGGCTCCTTTTGGATCTGAACGAAGGGAAGATGGGGTGTATTTAATTATATTTAATACGATGTCACATTATTTTGATGAGTAAAACGTTTTGCCGCAGCGAACAACAAATTCCTGTTCACTCTCGGGGTTGCCCTGCAGCGCTAGCTGAAGCGGTGAGGGTTTCAACCCATATCAGCCCGTCTTCTCCACCCCTGACCGATGACTCTGCGCCGAGGATTCAGGCATCCTGAAGACCAGAGGGGATGCCAGCTGCTTTTCAGAAACATTTCCCTAAGTATTTGAATCTGTTGCCGCTCACGACGGTCCTCGTATAGAACCGAGGACCACCGTTATACATCCTTTGCTGCATGTGGAGCTAACGTTGCAGACAGCGGCTGTGAAGCACAACCCTGGCACACAACAGAAAACGTACATGCATATAGAAATCCAATGAACACAAACTTCAGTCGGAGTTTACTATACACCGCCAGCCCCAGAGAATGTCGCTGGTATTCTCTGCAAAACGCCCCATAAATGTGCGGACTTACGGTTGATTGCAGTTACTAATAACATTCAAAGCTTGCTGGGACTTATAGTTGTTATAAATTTTCGTTTTTTTAAGCTCTACGCATGTGGCTAAACTATTGCGATGATGCGTCTGCTGAATGAAGTCAGATAATCGGATTACCTTGTTCTTAACTTCATGTTCCTTGTTCAATCAACTCATCTATATTTTTATTTATTTATATATTTGCTAATTCATGTTTTTATTCGTTCCTTTGCATATTTGTTTTCTTATGCTCGCCCTCTAAGCCAACACCACCACCACCTTTCTTCCGTCTGTCGGTGGTCCTGGGGGGGGTGGTTGTGTAGGGGGCCCCCCTGGGGCCTCCAGCATACTCATTTTTTTTTATATTGAGGACCTGCGCGGTGTGAAAACAAATTATTTTAAAGGAAAATGATTCGTTTTGAAATGCTTGTAGTCGCAGAAGACAGCCTGAGATCTTCCTGATGACATCCTGTGTGGGATGGATGCGTACGTGAGGGAACCCAGGAGGGGCGTGATTGGTGCTGTTTTTGTCCGCTTTTTTGTTTTTTTTTTCCTTTTTCTATGAATCTTCTGCTGCATTTTCACTGAAATGTCGCGTGAGAAGTCCGCCTGCCTCAGCAGGATGCCTGAGGAGGTGCGGCTGCTGCAGCAGGCTGACGTCATTACGGATTACCCAACCCATTTGCTGCGAGCAGCAGAAGAAGAACTCAAAGACTATTACCAGCAGCTGCAGAAGTGCAACGCTTTCCTCAACAAGTGAGGTGAAGGGGTGGAGAGATATATGTTTTTATCTAAAACATCTCTCATTTCAGTTCAGTGCAGTAGATAACACACAAACTAATCAATGAACTCTGGCCCTTCACTCTCAACCACCCGCTTAGCTATTTCAGCAGAAACCCAAATTCTGAAGCTGTGTTCACTACCTGCACTGTATTGATGAACCCAACAGAAACTCCACCACACACAAAACACAAACACACACAAGCATGCATGGATACGCATACCATAGACTCTGAACTCAGAACCCTAATTCCTTAAACCCTAATCCCAAAGCCCTAAACCCTTATATCAGCATCATCAGAGACGCATGCATGCATGTTTTTTCTGTACAACTGAGATTAAAACCTAAACCCTAAACCCTTTTGTGTGGCTTGTGCTTAGTTTGAGTTCGGAAACATCTGCTGAGGAGATTGAGGCGGTTGAGAATCGTCGTTTTGTATTGGAGTTAGATGTATTGCATGCACTGAGAGTGCTGAAGGTATTTCAGCAGACTCGCCAGCATTTGTTAGATAAAATGTCTGTTAAAGTTTTGGGGCAATTCGATGCTTTCGATGAACAAACACTTCTTAAACTATCAGATCATGAAAAACAATATCTCAGAGATGCATGTGCTGCTGAACACAGCAGAAGAGATGAACTCAATGCAAGAAATGTTGAAGACAAAAACGGAAAACCATCAGCTGTGAGGCCTTTTATTACTTTTCTTATTTTATATATTAATATATTATCTTATTTATTAGTATATATATTATGCGTTTAGTTTGATTCGTTCTTCTTTGTGTCTATTAAACTAAATTTGCTTTACTCGTGCTATTCAGTGTTTCTTCTTTATTTTTCAGTTAATTAGCTTCTTTTTTCTTCTTTTTTTAATTAATTTTTCTTTGATTTCTCTAAATTCTTCTTTTTTACTATTCATGTAATCAACTTACTTCTCCGTATGCATCAAGTTAATGCGTCTCTTATCGCGATTCTTCTCGGTTTTTTGCCGTTTGCTTTTTGTTTCCGTTTTATTCAATTTTTTTCCTTTTCGCTTATGTTGCTTCTGTTTGTGTCTGTTTTCTTTCTTCTATTTATCTGGTTTTGTTGCTTTGGTTGTTTCAATAACTTTAAGTTTCATCTTTTTTGTATGTTTCTGCTTGTATGTGTTTTTGTCACATTAGCCTTCTATTTGTTTATGTTGGTTTCAGTTCGTTTGTTTGTTTCACTGCCCATACATTTCTGTTTATATTTTTGTTTCGGTTTGTTTGTGTGCTTTATGTAACATATTTTGCTTCAATACTGCAGATAGCAGATGTGGTGTTTGAGAAGGAATGTCTACTGGAGGACCCCTGGCACTTTCGTTTGCTGTCTTCTTCTGAGGAGGCAGAAGCAGCAGCAGCAACAGCTGCTGCTGCTGCTGCTGCTGGTTGCAGCAACTTCAGCAACTGCAACATTACTTACGTTGCAAAAGGCACCGTCAGACGCCTGCCCCTGTACAGGGCGGTGCAGCTGCAAGCCAAGGGAATCGCCAAAGTGCTGCAGGTAACAGATCATCAGTGGCTGCATCAAGACTCTGCTGCTTTCCAGGGACTCATATAGTTCTCCTTCAGCAAATTCCTGCCTCGATGCTCGATGCTGCTGTTCCAGCAGCTTGTTGCTGCGGCTACTCCATCGGGTGTGGCTTCTACGTTTGATGCGGCTGCTGCTCTTGCTGCAGCTGCTGCAGTTGCTGAAGCTGCTGCAGTTGCTGCAGCTGCTGCAGTTGCTGCAGCTGCTGCAGTTGCTGCAGCTGCTGCAATTGTTGCTGCTGCTGCTGTTTTTGCTGGACGGGAGTGTTTGAGCCGCAAAAGGAAAGCAGTTCAACACGTCGCAGCAGCGTTTCATTTATTGATTCAAATGAACGAATTCCTGCTGCTGTACTAACTCTGAAAACTTACCGATGGCAAGGAAGAGAGTGGATGTTTAGAGTTTAATATATATGCTTAGGGACTATAGTTCAGGGTATACGGCGTAAACCTAGCGTTTAGGTTTAACGGTTTAGGGTGGTGTAGGGTTGCAGAGCGTATGGTTTAGGGTTTGGTTTCCTTATAGCTTGCCTGCGTGTTCTTGTTGATATTTCGAGTCTGCATGCTGCAAAATGCCGAGAAAGGGGTTGCTGCTGCTGGTCCAGCTGTTTCTGGTGATCTTGCTGCTGGCGGTGCTGCTGCTGGTGCTGCCGCTGGTGCTGCTGCTGCGGGACGCTGCCTGAAGGCTAGGAATGATTAGAAACGGTGATCGATTTCATTGTTATTTGCGTGTAAAGCCCCAGATAGGTTTATATGTGCCTTGACTCCATTTGTATTCATATATCCTGCTGATTATTTTTATATTTATAGTTGTACTCAGCACTGCACCGATGCCGTATATATGTGTAATAGTGACTGTAACAGCACCACGAATATATTATTGGCATCTGTATATCTACGATTTTTCAACGTGTTTAACGCTTATAATGAACTGTTCAACCAAAAAAGTTTATTTTTTTCAGTTTCGCTTATCTGCGGCTCACAAAATGAAGTCGTCATACACGGTGCATCGACGGATGCCTCTCAGGCGTGTGGATGATAGTTTTAACCTAAGCAGAGGCAAAATACACACACCATATCCTTACGATAAACTAAATATTATGAAACAAATATTAATGAATAAAAAAGAACAAAAAATTACCTTAAAAAACAGAAAACACCGCCGGCCTTGCCTGCACGCTGAACAGCGGTCGAGGCCCTCTGCAGACGGCCATTGGTCAGTCGCAGAGGTCAGCCTTCTTTGCTTGCATTTGTTTGCACTTTTGGTCTTTTAATATTAAATAAAACCAAAATTACAGAGAAATAAAAACGATTATATTCATACTCTTATATTTTTCGGCTGTGTGCTTCTGTTTGCCTGCACGCCTCGCTGGTTTCTCACTGCCGCCGTGCAGTGACCACAGTAGACGAGACCGCGGCCGAAATACTCTGGAAAAGTTCATTTTTTTTTGGGTTAAAAACCTCGCATAAAACTATAAGAACACAACAAAACGAGTAAAAACACATTGACGCATCAGAGGTGCAGATACGGTGGTTTTTTTCTCCTTTTTCATCGGCAGCAGGATGAGGGCCCCCTCGGCCGGCGTTATCCTCGCCGCTCTCTCCCTTTCCTCTTGCAATGGAACGCAGAGTGAGAAACCAAATATTTGCCTATTTTACAGCTGTGCGGATCTACATGCAGCTTCGTGCATTTGTAACAGCAAGCCATTACAGCTGGATTGTATTTCGAGGCACTCTTTGGCTCCAGGCACCGACAGATCCAGAGGCCCTTGAACGGGGTATATATATATATATATATATATACTTATACACATCTTTGTTTCTGAGGTGTGTCATTCGAGTCTTTCTGCGTTGTGTGTCTTTATCTCTGCGCAGCTGCAGAATTCGTAGAGCAAACATACCCGAATTTAAGCCCCAAAACTCAATATATTGATATTGGGCTTCATTCAGCTCTATCTGCATCAGGTCACCGCCATGTTCCTCTTTTTGCCTCCGGAGACTTTTTGCAATTAAATGAAAATTCACCGAGAAGAAGCAGAACACGGGGAGGAGTAGTGAGCTTTGTTTTACTTCGCTTTGTTTGCCTATCTTTCTTTTTCTTTCTTATTTTGTTTTGTTTTGCTGTGTTGCTTTCTCCCCTTTTTGCATTGTTTGTCTCGCTTTTGTTTTTCTATGTGTGTTCTCCTCCACGACTATTTCTTTTTCTTTTTTCTTGCAAAGAAAAACGCTCTGCAGTTCCTCTCTCTCATCCTAACACCCCTCGTCTTATTTGTTGCTGCAGCTTGGAGGCATTACAAATGTATTAACTCGCATAAGGAGCTTTTTCAGTCAAAAGGCTCTCTTTCAAAAAGCTCACATAGACGAAGCCATAGATAACCTCGTCGCTTCCCCTCGAGGCAAACGTACGAAAACAAAATGAATTTGTATAGATTGTGGCTTGCCTATTATTTATAAAAGAAAATTAAATGAATAATAATTTGTTTTTTATTTATCAACGATAAACAAATTTATTTTTGGCGTCACCATACAAGAAATAGTGCATTCGGTTCCTTTGCAACCAAACGCTGAAGGCGCGAGCCCAACATCTGAAGCACACACTGCATTCTTCTTTCTGAAAAGATATTCCCTTTTGTTTATCTATTTATTTCCTCATTTTAGTTTATTTATACATTTATTCGCTTGTTTGTTTTCTATAGGTCTTCTCGCTTGTGTGACTCTGCGTCCTGAGGCGGAGGCGAGGCACCGGGGAACAAAATTTTGCAAAAAGTTTAAAGGAGATAAATTTAAGGAGCTTTGTCTAAGTTCTGTCAACGAGGGAATTCATCTGCTAGAGAAAGCTGCAAGCAAATGCGATCAACCCGCCAAAGGAGGTATATAAATATATATATATACATATATATTATGTACCTTTAATTATATATATGTATGTGTTATATAGCTTTAATTATATGTGTATTATAAAGCTTTAATTATATATATGGAATACACCTCGCGCAGCAGGCACATAGTGTTGCTTCTTCTCAGCACTCCCTCTTCTCTGTTTGTTTACGTTGATGGAGATAATAATCATATATGGAGTCTACAGCGTAAAAGCAACAATAAAAAGCTGAATAACTGCAATTCTAATCGAATATTATTCTTAAACAAATGACTTAGTCATTAAATTATATATTTCTAATCATTGTTTTACCCAATTTGCAGATTGCCTCTTCGAGAACCTCCAGTTGCCCCTCGTGCACCCGTTGCTCACACAAAGAGATGGTGAGTGTTTAGGGTTTAGGGTTTAGGGTTTGGGGTTTACGAATTACATGATACGTTTCAAGTGCAGGGTAAAGGTCCGAAAGATTACGCTATATGGGTTGTAGTTGATGGCTGAGGGCTAGGGCTAGGGCTTGGGGTTTAGTTAATAAGAGTATCTTGCTTATCAAAGCAGCATCCTTTTGAACGGGTTTATGTGCGACTCGCCGATTGGTCTCTGCTTCAAAAAATATATGAGCATTTATAGAGATATGAATTCCAGGTGCACAAACATTTCAAGAGATGTAAGGAATAGAATATATGTATCCGTATTTAATTAGAATCTGCCCTTGTCTCTTTCTTTGTCCTTTTCTCTATCTGTTTAGAAGAATTTAATTACACCTTGACGGACTTCTCTCTTCCGGGCTTCACTGTGGGTGACTTTGGGGTTGACACCCGTTGGGATCAGATAGAGAAACTACAACAACTAACTGAAAAAAACGAATTCATGACGAGGTGGGGACTCAGAGATCGTGTTAATAAAGAAGAAGAAAGACTGAAGAAGAAACAAGGAAAAAGAAGAAGAACACAAAAAGATAAAGACAGAGATTTCTGGGTATGCTGAACACATATAATATTGATAACAATAAAAAGCTACAATACAGATGGTCAATACCACTAAAGTAATAGTAATACAAATATTGCTGAATTCTAGCAATGCTCACTAGCAGTATCATCGTATTTATTAAAACATTTGTATATCAGCTTTTTTTTGTTAACATTTGTTCTGTGTGCTGCAGAGAGCGTGGCAGTTGATGGTTCGGGAGATAGGGAGTAAGCCGCAGGCGGAGCCCGTTTTGATTCGTTTGTTGTTGCTGTTTATATCTTTTGAGAGCTGTCCAAGACGTCAAATAAATATTTTTGTTGGAAACAAAATGCAGAAAGCGTCATCCATAGACGCGAGAAGAAAAGCCCTCATCGCCGCATTCACCAGCAGTCTACACATTGAGAATTGCAGTGCAGTGAGCACGGAATTAAACTGTAGCGTGATGTCTACTTATTTAAATTTAAAAGAAAATTTAAAAGAGATACATTACCCTCTGCACGAAGAAAACCCACCCAGCAAAGACCTTCCCGAGATCTCCATTCAAAATACAGAAATTACACACATACCCAGTGAAGCTGAAATTCAAGACCTCAGAGAAGAAATAGAAGAAGACACACAAGCAGATGTCACATTTGGTAAGTCGTTCACTCTTTTAACCCCGTCACCCGCACCATATTAAACAAATAAACACGTATGCACTTCAACAGCCAGAAATATCAATAAAGTACAGCAGCAAGAAAACAATAAAGTTCACATCGTATGATGTTAAACAAGCAAGCGCACATTCATTTAAACAATATTAGTAGAAGAGCCATTAATAAAATGTCATCGCAAGACATAACGAATATAATATAATTCATTATATAATGTAATTCCTTTCGTGCGGGTTTTCCGTTTTTTATTGTTTTGTTTGTCTGTTGTGTTTTGTTGCTGCCGGCTGCTTTGTTCTCTCGGTTCTTTTTACAGCAAATTCCGTGGCGGATTCCTTGGGATCAAAAATGCTAGACTTAATGGCAAAGACGCGAGCAGCGAGGGCAGTTATTGCAGTAATAGTGAGCGGCGTGCTGCGGTTTGTTGAGAGTTTTCGTTCAAAGGGAGGGAAACGCTCGGCCTCTTCTGCATCTAAAAAGAAGATTTCAAGACAACACGGAACAGAAAGAGGAGCTATCATCAGCAAATCACAAATATCAGCAATTGCCTTTCTTATGGGGGCTGGAAGAGCAGCTTCAGTTTATTCTATGAGCGCAAAAGAAGGAATGGCGGAGCTACAGAGCGCAATCGTGAAGAGAGTGTTGAAAAAAAGACTGCAAAACGAAAGAAGAAAACAAAAACCCAAAAAGAGTTTTAGAGAAAGACTAAGAATTTTAAGGCGTAGAGGGGAACATGAATCAACAGCATCAACGTCGTTCCTCTTATCAAAAGCTCAAAACAAGCCCAACCCGCAAAAGTCTTTATCTTCTCCTTGCGGTCATACTTGTATTAAACTTCTGAAAATTAAATATGCTTCCTTACTGCAAACGATAAAAGAGGAAACAGGTATGGGGAGAACAACGAAGCTCTTGCTGGCCGGTGGTTCTTTCTTGTTGATAGGAATATCGATGGTGGGCAGCCTGGTGCCAGGAGGTCTCATCGCAGGGCTCATAATTGCGGGTATTGTTACAATTCTAATCCCTTTAATAAAACGTGTTTCTTCGTTTGTTTCCGGTAAGACACCCGGTGGAGGCCGTGAAGAACCAGAAGAGGAAGAGGAGGCTGAGGCAGGTGGTGGTGGTGGTGCTGAAGAGGTGCCCAGAGGAGGATACGCAGAGGAAGAAGAAGAGTAAACACACACCCAGGAAGGTATAATGGATTGTGAATTATTATTTAATTATTTAATTAATAGCATTATATTTAAATTTTTAGTTTTTGAATTCTTCTGTGCATTTGATGCACCCAAAATCATCGAGCGATCCGCCGCCCGTGCTCAACGATATTTCCGTCCAGGAGAAGCTGCGCGATACCGGCAGAATCGTCTAATTTTGTGTGGAACAGAGGAATAAAAGTTTTAATTTATCATTTATTCAATTTAATTTAATTAGTTTGCTCAGTTAATCGGAGAAATGTCGTCTGATAGACCTGTGTTTCCACTGAGGTCACTCCCTCTGCAATGGTCAGTTTCAGTCTGCCGAAGCGTCGTTGTGCGCTGAGTCAAGGGGGCCCGCGAAGAACGACGCCAAAACTTGCGTTATTCTTTTTTATAGTAATACAATGTTTTATACTTATCGATGCCTTTCATTTTTGCACTTTATTCGGTTTCATCCCGAAAACCCAGCGCGATTCCTTCGTACATTGCACCGCTTCTAATAACGCAAGCTCAGCACTCTCCTGCGCCTTTCCAGAATATTTTGTGGAGAGAAAGAAATATGTCTAATTATTCACTTTTAAGGATAAATAACGACTCACCGCCCTGGCCATTGTCTCTCCTTACAAAGGAAAATAGCTCCATTAAAACACGAAATAGAGTACGATCTCCTTTCCAATGCATTTGTTTCACTTTCAAGTACATCCCTAGCGTAAAAATTGGAAAAAGAAAACCCTATTTTGGGGCTGTGTTCGTGGTACTACGCATATCGACTTTTGCGTATCTGCTGCAGGGCCCCTCCGCTACTCAGCAGCAGCCAAACAGCAGCAGCCGCAGCAATTTTGTAGTAAAAAAAGTGCATATCCTTGTCTTTTTCGCTTATTTGTGTATTATTTTGATGACTTGTGTACTTCTGCCTCCTAATTTCTTCTGCAGGGCGCCTCTCAGCCGCGTTGTATTAACCGCCACCGCAGTGGTGGGGCCCCTTGAATCACCAGCCGCCCATCCTCTGGCTGCGCGTACTTCGTTTTTTCTTTTATATTTGCTTTTTGTTTTCGCTTTCACTAAACACGGAAATTGCCGCCGCGTTTGCAATTCACAGTGCGGATACATGATTGCAGCAGCAAACCCCAGAGCTGTTCAGTCGATATAAGGCCCCTTATCATCTAAGGGATTTCAACTTTCTTGAAAGTGCAACGCTGAAAGTGCTGGCGGAAAAGTACCGAGTTAAAAGGTCTGTGCAAAATACCGCGCAGTAAGGAGAAGTTCCTGCAGCTGAAATACAAAAGTATGAACGTGGAGTTAAAAGTGGCTTTGCAGAAAAAAAAGTGAAAACAATTTTACGTTTTGCCAGCTTTTCGCAACGTTCATTCAGCCACAGGCCATGGAAGATGCTTTTATATCGGTATATATATATATATATATATATATATATATATATATATATATATATATATATATATATATATATATGCATACATATCTGCAAAAACATATCTTACATTTGTATATATCATCTGCGTGTTCGATTGAAAAAAAGCTTTTGTGGTTAAGTTGATTGACAGAATTAAAATGTTATTTCGCTGCGTTTACAAGGCAACTGAAAACACTTTACTGAAAAGACGCCGAAAAGGTATCACGCAACCATAAGGCTGAAATCTATGTGCATATATATACGCATGAAAAACAC